ATCTTCCTTTCTGTTTGTCTGGTCCTCTGCCTCCATGAGGCTGCCCATGAAACAAAATTAACTTAAGATTCTTCTGGAATCTGCTGCTTCCTGTGCTGTAGACCTGAGGAACTCCATGTGGTCTTGCAAATAACTGAATAACATTGATTCAATGATTCAAAGAATGACATAGATGAACCTTAGGTATACTTAGAAACCATAAGATGATCAGATAATTCAAGTTGGAAGGAACTTAAGGAGGTTGTCTAGTCCAAATTTCAATATGCAAGACCTTACGGTTCCTGAAGTTTCGTTTAGTATCAGAAATGAATCCAGGAAAAAAACACATTCACATGTATTAAAAATTCTTTTTAGTTTGTTTTACAGCTGGAATGTGCTGTGGATTTAGCACGTCTCAGGGGGAATACTTTTTCTCGAGTCTTACTGAACAAATGAAATTCTACTCTGGCTCATTAACAGAGAAATCAAAATGAATAGTAATAATCCAGATGTCTGCTGTAGTGCCATTTCAGAATGTTGTTTATATTAACATGTAAAATGTTTGGGTTTTAATTATGGCTTAAGAAAGTAAACTGTTTTAAAGAGAGGTGAGTGAAGTCATCCGGGTAAACATGCCAATCTGAAGAACAGCTCCCCAAATGAAACCAAGAAGCATTATGAAAAATGATTCATTAAAGATTTTTCAAAATTTTTTCATAAGCCTCCCCACTCATTTTCTGTGCAAGTGGTTTCCAGTATCTCACAGACTGTTTATTCCTGTAACATTCTCCAGATGAACAGAAGCAAATAATGAAAATCTGCAAAACAAATACAAAGAGCATCACTTTATCCAAGCTGCTGTGCAGTGCTGATTTTCTCCTACAGGCAAGGCCAGTGCAGCTCAGAAAAATAGAAGGCACTCCTGTACTGTGTGCTGGAGTCATGGTTTACATGGAAATACCTGTTTTTAAAGAAGTTTATTTGGTCCAAACTTCTAGCTCCTTTGATGCTGGTATATCACTCATTCAAAAAAAAGCAGAACAGCAGTCTTTGCTCAGTTCACATCCTCAGATGGCAGTGCTACAAAAAGGTTGATTTAAGGAAGGTTTGTATTTCTTTGGGTATGCTGCGTACCCGTGTCCCCTTAATTCACTGTGGAGTACATTTGAAGAACTTGTACTAGCTTGATTTGTACCAGGTCTAGCTCTGGCAACCTGAACCCATTGCACATTGGACTTCCCACAGAAGCTGCTCTCAAGAGTAGGGCTGAACTGTCTGGGACTTGGTAGAACTCAGGGTCTCAAGAGGGTCTCAAGTGATGTCAGAGCAATTCCCCTAATTCAGTACTTGTTCCCACTATAAATCTTCATCTTCTTGATTCATAAAATGGCTTCCAAATGCTTATACTTCCTGAAACTGAATTATTATTTCATATTTCAAGTGAGCAGATCTTTTTCTTTTATTATAGTGAACTAATTATAGGGTTATTGGAGTATATTAGTGCTCTGTAGCCTTCTAGCCAGATGATATTAGTTGCTTGACTGAGCACCAGTGTTACTGTTGAGTAATGCTGAAATGGTTTGCCCACAATCACCCAGTAACTCTTACCTACTGAGATTCAGCCCAGTGGTCTATTCACTAAACCATGTAACTTTGTTATTTGCTCATTACTTTTGCCAGATTTTAGCTACTTGGTCTGGAATTTTCCTTCCTTAGTATCTGCCTGAAGCAGTAAGTGTCATCTCTTTCCAGGAACAAGATCAAGAAACATGCATTGCTTTTCCTATATAGATTTTAAATGAATAAAACAATTCTTACAAGCCCTTTGAGAAATTCTTCTGCTCTGAGATATGGAAGCACTGTTGAAATCCAGGAGAGAATCTTCCTTGAGTCATGGACATATTTTCATTCTTCTGCCCCCCACCTAGATATGTTCAGGTTATAATTTCCCCCCCAATAAGCCAGTTGATAAGAGTTTCAAACAACCATATGCAGAGTTTGGGCCCTAAATGCTTTTCAGTTTTCTTCTGCTGTAGGTTTGCAGTTTCAGAGCTGTAAGAATGAAGGGACTTGCCTTGCAGTTTTGGGAGATGTTGGTAAATAGAGACAGTGTGGAGGCTCTTTGTTGTAATAGTGCTCTTTCTTTTGATGCGCAAGAAGATTCCTGTGCAACAGAACAAAAATTGGTCATGAGGAAAGAGGATAGTAAGGATTAGAGGAATAGGAAGCCAGTGGGAATGGGAGGGGAATCTGAGAAGTGACTATGGGGAAATACTGACTGCTGAGGACTGAGATGGGAGGAAGAAACATTAGTGTACATGCAGGGAGACTAGGACTTAGGAGTGAAGAAGCTGAGAGTGAACAAAGGAAATAAAAGGGGAGGAGATTTGGGTTTGATAGGCCGTGGAGGATTGGACATCTCAACTTTTGAGGTGAGTCTAGGAGGCAGAGGATGATAGGAATAAAACTGCAGGTGAGATGGAAGCGTGGGAAGAGGGAACAAGTTCATACAGTGAAAAAACTGGGATAAGCCAGGGAATGTGGAGTGGGTGTGAAGAGGGAAGACCATATTCTGTTTAGAACAGGAGAAGACTCAGTTTTAATCACTAAAGGAGAGTCATCAAATGTCATTCAAAACAAAAACCTGGAACAAAACTCTAATTCTAATGGAATTTAACAGTTGCAGGCTCAGCAGAGATGCAGGTTTTATGACATTATTTTTCCCCATAATCACCACCTTTGAACTCTTCAGTTACACCGGCAATAATTACTCCCCTTCCTTTGTTCCCTTCTGGGGCTCATAATTTTCTTACCTTTCCCTTTGCTTATAGCCTACTCTGCTGTGCAGGTGCCAGCAATTCTTGTCTTTCAAACTGTCTTTTATTAACGTAGTTCAGTTGAATTCAGAACAGTTGTTCATAACCCATACCTTCTGTTACAAGAGCTGAAAAGAATTTGTATGCATTAAGTTGGTCTCTTTTTTTCCTTAACTATAAAAATTGTTCTTATGAAGTTATTACTGAGCCTTACAAACTTCACTTTGCAAGAAATACGTGTTCCTCTGAGTGCTTTCAATGTTGTTTGCACGTTTGTTTTTGCACAGTGTTGACAACAGAGTGAGATTTTTCATGTTTTCTGCTGTTTTGTGAGATCGAATGAGGGAGGTTGGTATGATGATGATTATTATTATTATTTCTCTTGGGAATATATTAAAAGATAGAACATGGATAAATGGAGCCTCAAGGGTGACTCATGTTTTTGTTTAGCTTGAACTAGGTCCAGCTTCTAAGAGGAACTTGATTTTTAGGTGCATGTTTTTGCAAAGTGTTCTAAACTGAAGTTATAATTCCAGAGGTCTCCATAGCATGTGTTTGTTTTTATTTAGGAACATGTTTAAGGAATGTTTTTGGTGGGTGAATGTAAAATAAATAAAACTCTCTCAATCTGGAGGTTGCAATTCTTTGGCATATTCAGTGTCAGCAAAAATCAAGTGGAAGAATGTTATTTAGTGAATGGACTCGGTTAATTTTTATGATTTACTTTGTAAAGAATTGTCTTTATGCTCAGTTGCGAGATGCGGAAGTATGATTTCTTAAGTAGCGTTTGCTTTTTACTTTGTAAATGTTTCTGCATGTTTGGAAGATGGCTAAAATTTGTTTTCAGCATGGACCACTGCCTGCTTGTCTTTGGGTAACACAAATTCAGAACGTACGTTGCTTCAAAACAGCATACTGTTACCATACTGAGTGTATAACAGTGCGACACCTCCATGCCATTGCTTCTATAATATTGTTCAAGGTGTGGTTCTAATTTTTTTGCCATTATAAATTCTCAGTAAACATTGTTTATAACTCAGTTTTTATTTAAAAACACCAAAAAACCAATAAAACCTTGCTCTTGTGCAACGTGAACATCTTAGCTTGTGAATATTTTGAAATTTGTCTGCAAAGCAATTGATGACATTTATTTATAAGTTGTTAGGGGAATGAAGCAAAGTCAGGGCTTCACTTGTTTTTTTCGTTTGTTTTAGGGGATTTGATCTTACGTCTTATAAAGGACTGTTCACTGAGAAAGTACTCGTAGTACTTTATTCATACAGTCGTAATTTACCTTTTGAATATAATAGATGAGGTTAGAGTAAGAATGTAATAATGTCATATATTTAAAAAATGTAGCTTAATGGATATTTCTAATAACTGTACTTTAATGAAAAGGAATTTCAACATTTGAACCTAGTTTGCAAGTTCGAACAATAAGTGCCCCTCTGGTAACTTAGAAAGCATAGATGCTTTCGTCCTAGTCAGTTGCATACTGGGGGCATACACTTTATCTGTATTTTAGTATACTTAGGTATCTGTAAAACATGAGATCAAAAAAAAGAGTCAAATTTGCAAAATAAGGAGTATTTATTATGTTGCCTGCTTAGAAAGATTTTTCCATGTATATCATGACCTGAGTGAGACAGCTGCAGAATTTGGCCAAGCAGAGCTGCAGCAGTGTGTACAATGGCTTTGTTGGTCATTTCAGCAGAAGTACGACAGATGTACATAGTGAGCTGAGATGTACGTGAGAGAAAACTGTTGGACACTAAATTTAAAAATGCATTAATTATTTTAGGGTTTCATTGATCTTTGTTCTATAGTAGAACTTAGAGATTGTTTTACAGCTCCAGTATAAGCATGTGTCTTTCACTTGAGAGTTCTTCACTAAAATTCTTTAGATGATTTAAAAGTTTTACTTACAAAAGCTCAGAGCGAGTAAGATTCTACTATCTACCTATGAGAGGTGTGAGGAATTCGACCACACGATTCTTACTAAAATTAACAGGCATTATATGATTTGATCCACAGCCCCTGTCATGAAATGTCCTTGGTGCAAATTTCATCATATGATGAGTGATTGTGTTTTATCTACTGATCTGTTGCTGGTTTTGAATGAGAAGGGTGTTGCAGAGTTAATACTTGGACTATATGTTATGCAATACATTTTTGTACTAATTCTGAAATGTGTTTTATTTGCAGGGATATTAAACCAGACAACATTTTGATGGATATGAATGGACATATTCGATTAGCAGATTTTGGTTCTTGTTTGAAACTGATGGAAGATGGAACGGTAAATTAGAAAGAATGATATATTCCTAAACACCTTTTCTTCAGTCCTTTGCTAGCTGCTAAAATGTGTGCTAATAAAGAGAAAAGGTGCCTTATGTGAAACAAAATGGAATTGTAATGGTATTGGTATGTAACTAACCTCGGTTCAAAATATGACTGCACTTTGCTTGGATTTACTGCGTAATAAATAATAAGTAAATAATAAATAAAGAGAAGCTAGCTGCACTATCAGTACTGAGTAGGTATTTGTTGATGAACTATGAATCTCTCAGTTTTGACTCTGAGCTCTAATCTTTATCGAAAATGTAAGCTTTACTATAAGCAGGATAAGATACAATTAGCATATAATCATATTTTAGTAGTATATTTAAACTTGCACAGTATGTAGTAGGTGTGACTAGAATGTAATTCCAGTGTGTTAATTATATCCCAGAGTGTTACAAAGTATTTGAGTTAAGATATGTGATTACCTAATCTATAATTACTTAATAACAACTCTAAGCCTAAGAATTGACAGTTTTGTTCTTTCTCTGTTATTAAATATTTGTAAGAGTTGAGCAAAAGTATGTTACTAGGATGCCTATTAATGTAGTGCTTTAGATGCTTAGGCATTCTTCATTAATTTAGAAGCGTTTTTATTGTGTTTAGTTGTTACTGTTATAACGAGAACACTAGGCTAAATTTATATATACATGCACAGTGCCACAAACAGCATCGTCTGTAACGATGAAAGTTGATTTTAGTCCTGGAAATGTAACTTCTACAGGTCCAATCTTCAGTGGCAGTTGGAACACCAGACTACATCTCTCCAGAAATCTTGCAGGCCATGGAAGATGGAAAAGGGAAGTATGGGCCCGAGTGTGACTGGTGGTCCCTAGGCGTTTGCATGTATGAAATGCTTTATGGAGAAACGCCCTTTTATGCTGAGTCCTTGGTGGAGACCTATGGGAAAATAATGAACCACAAAGTTAGTGCACTTTCTCTTTCTGTCTCTCTCTAAGCTAATTTTTAATAAGTAATAGGGTAACTTTGAGGCGTATTTAAAAATGAGGTTTTATGTCCTAATTATGTTAATGTTCATAAATATAGAACAAAAAATGTTTCCATATAGTAAGTTTATGGTTATGGATTGCAGATGACTTTGCTTTAGGATAAAGCAGTTCAAAACTAAAAATCTGGATTTGGAAACATGGCTATTAGTTCACTGTCTGAAGTAAATCTTGGCTACATTACATCGCTCCTTTTGCGTTGCTTTCTTCTGGCGGGATCCATTGGTTGGCTTATGCAGAAGATTCTTAAACATTCTTCCACATGGAGGTAGCTGTAGAATTCGACAGTGTAAGAGAAATTTAAATAAAGAAGAAAAACTAGGAGACAAAAAAATGTCGATAGTTTCTATCCTTTGGGGACGTCTTTTTCCTAGAAACCTTACTGCATATATTTAGAACTGGAGTATTTGCACATTTCTTTTTCTACACAATAATTTCCACTAAGAAGGGTGATTTTTCCAACTTTTTCTTGGTAATAAACTTATTTTCTCTTATTTTAATCCTTAAGGAGAGGTTTCAGTTTCCTGCTCAAGTGACAGATGTCTCTGAAAGTGCAAAGGACCTTATCCGAAGGCTCATTTGTAGCAGAGAGCATCGACTTGGACAAAATGGGATAGAAGACTTTAAGAACCATCCATTTTTTGCTGGGATTGATTGGGACAACATTAGAAACTGTGAGGCACCTTACATCCCAGAAGTCAGCAGCCCCACTGATACATCAAACTTCGATGTGGATGATGATTGCTTAAAAAATTCTGTAAGTATAGAATTAACATTTTGACAAATCTGCTTTTGTAGTATACTTTACAACAAAATATATGTAAATAGCAGTTTATTTCAGTGTGTTCACTATGTTCTGCATAAACAATAAAGTGCTGCTTTGAAGAACTGTAGGGGGAATACATTCATAGTTTGGAGGCTGTTCCTCCAAACATGTATGTGTAAAGATAACTTCGGTTCAATTTTGTAAACTCATTGTAACTTTATATGTGTTTAACTAACACATACATCTGTTGTTTGCAGTAACAAGTTCTTAGTGTCCAGGTCTTATAAAGAATAATACATTTACATGTAGATAGTCTGCAAGACACGGTATTTCTAGCAGCAGAGCATTGTTGAGACTCGTACTAAGTTTGCATAATGCATTTTACTGTAGTGCTCTACGCTAATTGCTCATATCTCTGTCAGATTCCATTCAGTTCATTCCCACTAAAATTTTTCCAGCTTGTTTCCTACTTGAGTTGAGTTTTGGGAAATTTAGGAGGAATGTTACAACCGTTTTTTCGGGAACAATCTTCGTAAGAAACAAATGATTTTGCCTTTGCTTAAAAAGCGTTGCAACTATTGATTTTTAACAACCTTAGTGTTACTGTGCTTTTGAACAGGAACATTGGCAGATGATAGAGGTCTTAGCATCAGAGGAATGCCTTGTGTTGTCTCCTTGGAAATACTTTTTTTTTGTGTGTCTTTGTTGAAAGGTGCAGAAACCTGCTGTTTACATGAGGGGTGAAGCATTTTCACCATTTTTGCTTTTGTTTTCTGAACTGCCTGTGCATCTCAATTCCACTGAGCTTCCTGGACCTGCAGATAAGTGATAGGCAACATGAATTGATATAGGCAGGATGATCATTATTTGCATTCACTTTCCTCCAACTGCACAGTAAAATATGGAAAACACTTTGCTTAAAAGAAATCCAGTGGTAGACATATGTGGTGTGGAGCATTAGGTCTCAGAGTCCTTTCTTATAGGCAAGTTAAGAAAATCAGTCTAGCTGCATAGGACAATTTGCATTTTTTTCATTTTTTCCTCAGTTTTTCCTCACTTGCATCTAGTATTGCCCATCTCCCTTCACAACTAAAGTATTTTTATCTTAAAACTTTTTTATACACTCTTCAGATACCTGTTTGCACATTATTTTGTCCAGGAACAGCTATCAGGGTTGGGTGGCAGCAATGGATGCTGTGTGTAACAAGTCTTTGTGATGCCATGTTTGTGAAGCTGAAATAGCTGTTGGAGGTTATTCACTCGTTCTAATGTTGGCCAGTCCAGGGGTCTTCCTTTTTAGAGCGTAATCTCGCAACTGAGGCACTCAAAAGGTGCCTGTGTGGTGTGAATATTTTCCCATTATAAAGAAGCAAGGAGCTGCAGGTGAAGAAAGAATGCTCCTGTGATGAGTTATTAGACTCAGATGTGAAAACAGAGTCCGATTCTTAATTTGCTTTAGACTTCTGGGGGTGAAAAGCAATGCTATTGAACTGTTCGAGGTGAACACTCATTTCTGGAGCTTCATTTTCAGTTTCCTCATTTGAAACATGTGAAGGTAATTTTTCGTTTTGTTTAATTTAAGGTTATATTTTTACCATTTCTTTTTGCACCTTTCTGCGGGTTTTTAGCTTTTAAATGTTTGGTTTAGTAGCCTTACTGATAGGCATGATAGATGTGGATTCAGTTATAATTTTGTCAGTGTGATAATACAGTTGAATTCACACAAGTAGCGGAAATAAGTGTTTTGATCTCTGCCAAAGAATCAGCAAAGAAATTCTTTTACAGAATCTTACATTGTTATCAATAGATACGATATTTTAGAACCGACATTGTTACCTGTGTGGTAACTGAAAACTGTCATATGGACTGTTAAAATCACACAATTATGCGTTTGGTCTTTTTTAAAGTTATTTGTAAAAACGGTTTTGAAACTCGAATCTATGAAATACGAAAATAAAATATGAAGGAGAAGTAAAGAATTCTACTTTTCCTAACCATAATGTGTAATAATTGCTATTTTTATTATCAATTAGTGGAAAATTAAGGCTTTGTAATTTGGTGTTTTCATTCGTTTCCAAAATGCCCAGCAATGTAGACTTGATGTACTTACATAATCTAGCCATGTCATTGGTATTGCTTTTTATTCTGGGAACTCTTTTTCGATGTGAAGATTTTTGCCTGCTAAAAGGTCAAGGTTGTGATGTAATATAGCTGACGCCACCACTGAAAAGGTAATTTTAGATTTCTTTTGAATAAGGCTTGTTCTCTCCTGCTGAGTTTTACATGTAAAAATGTACAACTGGTTCCTTTCTTCCTTTTGTTTGTTTGAAAAAAATCATTATGTTACCTTTTCTTAGAATTTAGAACCTTTTAGCACTTTCAGTGTGATAATCTTCTTAGGGAGTTTCTTTTGATGACCAAGGTCATCTCTAGTATAGCGACATAAACCTTGCGTTTTGGGGTTAAACAGGAAACTTTTAACAGGATATTTAAGAATATTAGAACTTATAATGGTTCAAGAAATATAGCAACAGGGTTATTTTAGCCTGAGGAGAAGCTCAAAGATTTGTCTTGGTTTGTAGTTCTTTGTCTGGCAGGAAAAAGGAGCAATGAAGGAAGAAATGGTAAAAGCACTAATGGGATTAGAAAACCGGGTTGTATTACTTCTTTCTAGTAAATGTCTGACTATTGTTCTCTCAAAATAGAGATGGACCGGTCAGAAGTGGGGTTGGTAAATCTACAGGCAGAAAGCCCTGCTAACTAAATAGCGAGAGGAGTATAGGAAGGAATAAAAGGTGATACTCTTTGTGCTAAGAGTTTCTTGGAAAAAAGGAGGAATAAATTGGCTTTTAATATGTGTAATATTCTGCTTTCCTCCAACGATAGCCTATTTAATTAGAAAAGCATTTTTATGCCAGCATGCTATATTTTTGTATATTGCATGCTATTATAAATAGATTTAGGTGATGCCGTTTCATATTTGGGCTGTAGATAAGGTTGACTACGAATATAGTTAGTATGATATTATCACTAACACTTCACATATGGTTAAACTCGAAAATATTTTTCTTTTAAGTCCAGTAGGGTATTACTTACTCAACTGTCCTATTATTTTTCTAGGAAACAATGCCTCCACCATCACACACTGCATTTTCTGGCCATCATTTACCATTTGTGGGTTTCACATATACAAGTAGCTGGTAAGTTAAGAGTTCCAAAATTGCCTGTAGGATAGTTACATAATATCTTAAGTTTCTGTCTCTGAAACAAAACAGATGCCTAAGAATGTGGTTTATTGAGGAAGTTACTAGGCCATAATCTAAAATGCTGTCTGTCCAAAAGAATGAGCTCTCTGCAGGTAAAATTTACATGAATTTAAAGGTCAGCACCTGTGTTCAGAGGAGTTTTGTTCAGAAAGGTGGTTTTCAGACAATGTATGAAGTTAACTGCCTATAGCAAAGTTAAGACCAGATGTGTTGACCCAGAGAGAACTTAGCTTATTAGACTTTAAAAACAGTTTTATTTCTAGTCCTTTGACACTCATATAAGTCTGAATGGAAATTTTTAAAAAATTACTTTTATTGATATTTGGTATTAATGTGGTATTTGTCATGTTCATCTCTACTGCTAAATTGAACAGTAACAAGGAAGTCCATGTATGCCTCTTGATCGTTTATGAAATTAAATAAATAAAGAATGTTTACAACCATTGAAAAACCAGGCCTATATTTTTGCAAACACATGTGCTTAATGCTGGTTAAGTGACATGTCCTGTAGACTTCAAAAGGATTGTTTGCATAAGCACTAGTATGCGTACATGAGTATCCACAGAATCAGGGCCACAGCATTTCTGATATGTACCTGCCCTAGTTGTCGTGTGATAATTTCACAGCATTTGTTGTGACTGTTGTCTTTAAAGTATTTGGGAAACTTGATTAACTATTTTAAAATAAACTGTTACTGTAATCTTACTAATTATCTAGATTGTTGCTTTTTGCTATCTGGCTGATGTAGACTGTCCATAATGATCATTTTTAATCAGGAGTTCATTCACTTTTGTGTAACAAAAAATGCATTGAGGAGATCAGTCATGCTAGGTAAAAATGAATTCAATTTTTAATGAGCACATACTAAGAAGGTATTATTTGACTGTATAAATAAATTACATAGTAATTAACAATTTCAACAACTATTCATTGGTTGATACAATTTTTTAAAAATTATTTTAAACACAGCCTGTTGTAAAATCCAATACTGTTTAATTTTTTTCCCCCAGTGTGCTTTCAGACCGCAGCTGTCTAAGACTGACAGCTGGACCACCCTCCATGGATCTTGATGCCAGCATTCAAAGAACTTTGGAGGATAGTTTAGCAACAGAAGCTTATGAGAGGAGAATAAGACGTCTAGAACAGGAAAAACTTGAACTTAGTAGGAAACTGCAAGGTATAGTCATTTAAAAAAATCATTCAATCACTTTTTTGACTTAGATTAGCTTGTAGCTTTGTAAGGTATGTTTTATACCATGGAAGAAAATAAATACACCTCCTGGAATGCTTTCTAGCAGAAAAGAATTATCTTCATTTTTTCTGTTGACAAATTAAACTTCTGTTACTCTTTATGCCTGAAATATCCTATGTACGCAACTTCTTATAACATGCTAACTTTGTTCACACTGTGCCATGGTTACTATGGCATAAAGATTTCATTCTTAAAACCTCTAAGAACTTAGTTTGACAAGCTGACAATTACTGAAAAATTGGCACTTAGTAGTTGGAAATCATAAATTGTAGAATCCTCAGTGGAGAGGCTTTTTGGCATGTCTTAATTTATCAGTGATATCTTTTTGACCTCCTCAGATGTCAGAAGTGTAATTTGTCCCTCGCTCTTCCATCTTTTTCTAGAGTCCACCCAGACAGTCCAGGCTCTGCAGTATTCAACAGTGGATGGCCCAATAACAGCAAGCAAAGATTTAGAAATTAAAAGTTTGAAAGAAGAAATTGAAAAGTTGAAGAAACAGGTAACAGGTATGTTATAAATATTAATGTGAAAACTGTAATGGGAAACAATATTTTGACAAGATTTTTTCTCATAATGTAATGTTGGTTTTACTTTGCTTTCTAAGAGTCCTTCAGTCTATTTTTACTTCTCATTTTACCCTTCGCTCTTCATTGGTAGCTCAACATTTTCTACAAATTCAACTTAATATTCAGTACTTCAGTAATTCCAGTTGCAAGGAGGAAGAAAGATTTCAGTGACTTCTGCTATTACTGTTAGTGGTAAAGTTCCACTAGTTCTAAATTGTGGTGTTGCTAATTTACATGGATGTGAATCAGGCACTACCTGAGAATCTGTGAAACCGTGACCAGTTTCGTTAGTACTACCTTTTTTTTTTTCTTCTCCTTTTCTTTTTCCTTCATCCTGCAATGTGTACTGCAAGAGCAGATGGAGCACTTGTTTGGTTATTTTTGGCAGTATCAAAAGTCACTGCAGTCCTTTCAGAAGTCATACTCACTGTAGCACACCTTAGCATTCCTTGCTTTGTACACCTCTGCACTCTGGTATGAAGGTACATAGGTAGTAAACTGGAAGGAAGGAAGGTGGTGTTTCTTGTTTACAACATGAGGGGTGAAGACTTTAGCCTAGCAGTTTTAATAGTCTTAAAAATATTTGATGGAAGGGTGATTTGTTATGATTTAAGCATCAATTGATATTTTTCATTATCTCATTTTCTGTTGAATTTTCCTTGCAAGGGCCAAATTTGTGAGATGTGATCACAATTTTATATTTGTATTTTCTTTGAAACCACAGAGGTTTATAGTGTGCTGTTGCTTAGTGCATTGTAACTGGATGTGGAGTAAAATCTAGTTCAAACGGGAGACGTGGTTTTCTGCGTATTTACTTTTAGAAAAGTGTGGGTTATCTGGGAGGTGGGCTGTGTGCATGAAACTACAGTGATACTGAGTTTTCCAAGTGGCAGGGAGTAGCGAAGAGTGTTTTCCGTGAGAGAGGACACTATGGGCTATAAGGCTGCAGTTCCATGAGCAGCAGAACTGATCAAACAAAACTCTGCTGTCAAAATGGGTCCTGCGCACAGCTATGTGGCTCCTCCTGTCTCTGTGCATACCCCGCACTTTCTCTTGAGTTTAATTCACTCAATTAAACAAGGAAAGAACTATCTAGATATAGAGAATTTAATCAATTCATGATCTGATAAATCGGCACAAGGTGCGCAATGAAGAGAGTTCATGAAGATTTTATGATAACTAAAAATTTGGCTATCAAGTATCTCAGCCCTTTAAATTTGGAAAGTGTTTTTGAAATCTGTGCAGATAAAGAGCTGAATTTCTTTAATTAATGTCATGCTGCCTTTCTTTAGAACTCCCAGACTAGTCAAAAAGCAAAGATCTACTTAGCCCAGTATCCTGTGTCTTT